CAAGTGTTACTATGGAAAATCAGTTGGACTCAGGGGAGACTGACTCACATGGGCAAAATCCACACTGGACTAATCGATAGACCACAGTGTTTGTGGGTCATTTAAAAGAGAGAAATGTACCAGCAGGCAGCCCTGGATGCTCCAGTCAGTTGGGCAATGCCTTCTCTGCTCTGAAGGAACCAAATTACAACAAAAACTTTCCCTGACAGGCATGATATCTCAGCAAGGGACGTAGTTGTTTGATCTTTTTGTTTCTTTTCTAGTGTGTATTTTATTTATGTATGTATGTATGTATGTATTTATTTATTTATTTATTTATGTTTAATCATTTTTTATTTTCAATTACAATTGACATACATCATTATATTAGTTTCAGTGACCAGACATTACCTAACTTAATAAGTGATAACCCCAATAAATCCTATACCCATTATTAGATTATTATTAGATTAATAATAAGTTATTAGATTATTATTGACTATATTCCCTATGCTGTACTTTAGATCCCCACAACTTCTTCCTTGTCTCTGTAACAACCAATTTGCACTTCTTCATCCCTTCACCTTTTTTTCCCATTCCCCCCAGTTCTCCTCCCATCTAGCAACCAACAAAAAATCTCTGTATCTCTGAGTTTGTTTCTGTTCTGCTGGTTCATTTTGTTTGTAGATTCCATTGTTAATAGATATGTCATTTTTTTGTTCATATTTTTATCTTCTTCTAAAAGAAGACCTTTAACATTTCATATAATACAGGTTTGGTGGTGATGAACTCCTTTGGCTTTTCTTGTCTGGGAAGCTCTTTGTATGCCCATCAATTCTAAATGATAGCTTTGCAGGATAGAGTAATCTTGGTATAGGTCCTTGCTTTTCATCGCTGAGTATTTCTTGCCACTCCTTCTGCCTTGCAAAGTTTCTGTTGAAAAATCAACTAGCAGTCTTAGGGGAGCTCCCTTCTAGGTAACTAACTGCTTTTTTCTTGCTGCTTTTAAGATTCTCTGTTTGTCTTTAACCTTTTGCATTTTAATTATGATGTGTCTTGGTGTGGGCCTCTCTGGGTTCATCTTCTTTGGGACTCTGGACTTTCTGGGCTTGTATGTCTGTTTCCCTCACCAAGTTAGGGAAATTTTCTATCATTATTTTTTCAAATAGGTTTCCAATTTCTTGCTCTCTCTCTCTTCTCCTTCTGGCACCCCCATGATACAAATGTTGGTATACTTGAAGTTGTCCCAAAGGCACCTTATACTATCCTCATTTTTTCTTTTTCCTGTTCTGATTTGTTGGTTTTTGCTTCCTTATATTCCAAATCAGTGATTTGATTCTTGGCTTTACCTACTCTACTGTTAATTCCTGTAAATTATTCTTTATTTCAGTTAGTGTATCCTTCATTTCTGACTAGTTCTTTTTTATACCATTGAGGTCCTTGCTAAGTTCCTTGACCATCCTTTATAACCAATGTTTTGAACTCTGCATCTAGTAGATTACTTGTCTCCATTCTGTTTAGTTCTTTTTCTGGAGTTTTGCTCGGTTCTTTCATTTTGGGCCATGTTTCTTTATCTCCTCATTTTGGCAGCCTCCCTGTGTTTGTTTCTATGTATTTGGTAGAGCTGCTATGTTTCCTAAGCTGGGTAGTGTGGCCTAATGCAGTAGGTGTCCTGAAGGGTCCAGTGGCACAGCCTCCCTGATCACCCCAGCTGGGCACTCGAGATGTACCCCCCATGTGAGCTGTGCACTCTTCTGTTGTAATTAAGCCTTGATCCCAATGGGAGGGATATACCCGGGCTGCTCAGCTGCAAGACTGGCTGTGACTACTGACCACCAACCTACAATCACCTTGGAGGATCAGCTGTGCAGGGGCCCACCACACAGAACAGGACTTACTTCAGCAGGGCTCTGGTGCCCATTGAGTGTGTCACTTGTGGAGGTGGGGCGGGGGTGCTTTGACATGGTCTGAAGCTGTCCACTGAGTCCTCTGGCTCTGGGCCTCCTGGGAGGTGCAGGCCCAGGGATAAACCGTCTGTGTTCTGCCTGGGGGCACCAGGCATAAACTACAAAGAGGTCTGCAGGTGGCTGCTTCTTGTGCTGGGCTTGGAGATGCCCAGGTAAGGCCAAGCTGTGAGCCAAGGCCAGCTGCTGCTACTGCTGGGCCTGGGGCCACTTAGCGGGTGGTATGGGACTCACTGAAGCCAGATGCTGCTAAATTGAGAGGTTTTAGAAAAATCTGAAGCATGAGCCAAGACTGGCCACGCCTATAGTAAAGCTCTGGAAACAGCTTGGGTGGGCCCAAATGTTGGGTGAGGCAGGGTCTCAGGGAATCACCAGGGCAGAGCCAACAGTGTGAGCCAGGTTGATGGAGTCTCAGATGTGGTACCCGTCTGCTGGCTCTGTGGGGGAAGGGCTCATCAAAGGGATAATGGCTTCTGCCAGCACTTTTGTCTGAGAGAAAGCTGCCCCCAAGCTCTCACCCTCATGCCCAACAATTCAGGTCCTCCCCGTATGTTTCTGATGCCTTTTAAGCTGCTGCCCTGCACTGGAGCTGAGGGAGGGAGTCCCAGTAAGTCCATGTGTGGGCCCTTTAAGAGGAACTGACTGGGACTCTAGCAGCTTCAGTCTCCCTCAGCCTCAATCGCTGCTGCTTTTTACGGCCAGAAGTTAATGGGGACTTCTCTTCCTGGCACAGGAGCCCTGAGCTGGGGGGGCCTGGTGTGGGACTGCGACCCCTCGCTCCTCAGGGGTGACTTCCACAGCTGAGATATCCCTCCTAATTTTTATTTGCCACACATGGGTGTGGGACCAGCTTCTTCCTTGTCTCTGCCCCTCCTACCAAGCTTGATGAGGCTTCTTTGATTTCATAGTTGTGGGACTTCCATTCAGCTCTATTTCAGGCAGCTCTGAAAGATGGTTGTTCTGAGCTTTAGCTGTAATTTTGATGTGTTTGTGGGAGGAGGTGAGTACCACATTCACCTGAACCATCATCTTGACCAGAAGTCAGTTGTTTGATCTTGATGGTCACGGTTGCCTGGCTATAGGTAGAGCCTGATGCCTCATCTGCCTTCTAAGAAGTGCCTGCCTAACGTTTAGAGCAGCGGTTCTCAACCTGTGGGTCGCGACCCCTTTGGCGGTCGAACGACCCTTTCACAGGGGTCACCTAAGACCATCCTGCATATCAGGTATTTATATGACGATTCATAACAGTAGCAACATTACAGTTATGAAGTAGCAACGAAAATAATTTTATGGTTGGGTCACAACATGAGGAACTGGATTTAAAGGGCCAGAAGGTTGAGAACCACTGGTTTAGAGCATGTCAGGCTACCCACGCCACTGGACAATCCTAGACACATATGGACAAATTCTCGCCTTCTGGCTCTGCTTCGTTTAAAGACCCCATCATACAGTCATTCACCCATTCCACAAATCTATACTGAGCTCCTACTCAGTGCTAGGCACCGGGCTAGGTGGTAGGGATGCAAAGTGAATGAAACATACATTGTCCCACCCTCCTCGTGGAGTTCACAGTCTTTGGAGAAAGACTGACAATTGAATGTATAATAACCATCCCTTGTGAACAGTGTATTGTTACCATGTTGAAGCATGGAGGGAGTGTCCATGTACACCTCCTTTCTTCAGCAGGTGGCCGGGCATGCTCAGGTGGCTTGCACCCTCGCTTGCTCCAGTCATGTTCGGGCCCCTCGCTACACCCTGACAACTCTGAGTGACCTCGGGTGTTTCCCTCGTCCACACAGCAATGCGTCTATGCACTCTCCCTTGGGCTGGGCCCGCAGACAATTCATTCTTTTATTCATTCAACAAATATTTATTGAGTCCCTATTATGTGCCGAAGCTAGCTCATTTCACCTTCCCCAGGGGGACTTTTGTCTTCCCAGGTGGGGCAGTGCCTTACTGAAGCCCCAGTACTGACTTTAGCCCACCTTGGAGCCTCTGCTTTCTTCTGGGGATATGGGGGCACCATTCAGGACTCGGGCAGGAGTGCCCCAGATGCTGCAAAGGAAGGGGCTCCTGGCATCAGGTGGGGACTCTCCCTCCCAGGAGATATGTCAGGAAGTATCCACTCACCTTGCTGAGGTTCTCCCACAGGGCTCAGGGGGTTAGGGATGTGCAGGCGGCTCTAACCCAGACAGCAGGCAGCAGCCTGAGCAGAGCTGTGACCCAGGAAGACATCAATTCCTGGAAGTGACAGAGGCCTGGGAATCAGAGGTTTGCTAGCCTCAAGGTCAACTTACATATCTATCGTTGTTGTAAGTTCCATTTCTTGAGTTCCTTCACCATATCTCAAACTCTCCTGTTCCACGTGCACCCTACCTGGGAGGGTAGGAGGGCCAGGAGTCCTTTCCTCGGAGCCCTGCTGGATAGACCAAGGCACAGAGCTTACACACAACTTAAAGTTGGGGACAGACTGGAAGCCAGGTCTCCACTGCAACCTCCAACCACCCATGGGCTCTGAGGGCCTCCCGGACAGGGCTTGTCCCCTTCCTCAGGGGTGTTCAGAGGTCCACTGTCCCCCCACAACACCCCCCTCCAGCTCTCCAACCTTCAAAGCAAGCAGCCCCCGGACCCCAGCCCTCTGGTGGCCTCAATGGGTCCCATTGTCCAAGAGGCTATTTGGCTTGACCCCAGCCCCAAGCGGCAGGACAGCGAGCTTGGAGAGGGGTCTGCCCTGTCCCCTCCTCAGCCTGGGCCGGCCGCCTGTGGGGCAGGGGCCCCGCTGAATGTGACCTATTGTCTTCGGGGTGGATTTAGGAAGTGCCAAGCTCCCATCAAACAGCCCTGCTCCTCGGGGAAAACAAAAAAAGGGCTGTTCATTTGGGACCTTTTTTCCTTATCTCCTTTTCCTATCTCCTCAGGCTTAGCTACGGTGTAGTGTTCAAAACCACTTCCCCTCGGAGCCAATCAGAAGCTGGGGCTCACCCCGCGGCCCTGAGGTAAAGCTATTTATAAACGCCTCCCTGGATTATTTGAGCAGAGCCCTTTCGCACACCTCTGGACACCTTTCAGCCGCCCGCTCCCAGGCACACCTGCAGCCCTGCCCCGCGGCTCTGCTCACCCACCGGTAAGCCCCACCCAGCCACCCCCCTGCTTGAGGAGGGATGACAGGACCGTACTGGTCAGGGGGTGGGCTGGGTGCCAACCTGAGCACAAGTGGGAGGCACGCTCGGCCCCTGGGTCTGAGAGCAGCCCCTGGCCCGGGACCTCAGAAGGGCCCAGTGGTCCTCACTTCCATGGGGGACCTAGCTCCAAGGCAGGAGGCCACGGGGAGCTTGTGGGATGGAGGCTCGGTTGGAGGAGGTCTGCCAGCCCCCAAGCAGAGTGAAGAGAAACAGAAGCTCCTTCGCAAGCACTTCTCTCCTTGCAAAGAAAAGGACAAAAATGCTGGACCTTCTGGGGCGCCTGCCTTTGAAGCTGCTGGCTGCACCTCTCCCTTTCTTCTCAGTCTTGGAAGCAAAAAGCTCTTAATGCTTGGCTCCCGGGCCTGCCTCCCCTCCCTCTGCCCCCCAGAGGTCCTCTGTCGCTCCTTCACTTCTCCACCAGCTCGGGGCACCAGCCTGGGCGGCATGGGTCCGTTTTTGTCGCCGTTAATCCCGAGGGCTACTGGGGATCCAGCGCTTTCAGACACGTGGGGTCCAGGGGACCTGACGCCCAGGTGAATCCTTCAACAAGAGGGTCTGGGCCAGCTCCACCGGCTCCCAGCCTCCTCACCGCAGCTCTGGGGGGATCCCTCGGGCGTTGCCCCTGCTCCTCAAAATGAGCCCCCAGCCTAGGGCAAGTGAATTTTTCCTCCTTCCAGCGTAAACACTCCATCTACACTCGGCCCCGCTGGGTCTGAGTACAGGGAGGGAAACTGGCCCTCCCAGCACAGCCCAGAGCCTGGCGGCTGTTCTGATGCCCCTCTGTATGAAACCCTGGGACAAGGGCGGACTCGTAGCTCCTCATGTGGAGGGGCCTTCGGGGATTGGCATAGTTCGGTGGGTGTTGCTGCACTGCCCCAAACGGCCAGAGTCTGCTCCGTGAGCTCCCTGCGGGCCCGGGGGCCAGCTCAGCACTGACCGAGCTCGGACTGCTCGGCGGGCCCTTCACGGGTCTCCTTGTCCGCTCACCTGCCTCCGAGTGAGCCTAGCCCTAGCCCTAACCTCACAGACCTCTGGGTGTCTTGCCTTAAAGGCCAATTTCAGGGATCCCGTGACCCGGGGCAGGTGTCACTGCTGGAAAGTGCTTCTCAAAGTCCAGCCTCCTTCTCTTTGCTGGAGCTTTGCTTCAGCCCTGCACCCGTCCCTGTCTCCCCCTCCCTTCCCCCCCTTCTGCCAGGAACGCAGAGAGGGAGGGAAGAGAAGGCTTGGAGATGGGCGTGGGGACTTGAGGGGGGGCGGGGCAGTGACTCTAGGATGCCACTCCTTAGAACAGCGGGAGTGTGGGAGGCCAATTCAGGGGCATCTAGGTGCCCCCTCACAATACTAGTGAGGAAGTTAGGCTGGAGTGAGGAGGCGATAGGAAATTTGCCCAAGAAACATGGGGACAACAGAAATAAAAGGAGTCTTGATATATGACTTGGAGACCCGCAGGCCTGCGCTCTACACCCTTACTCCTTCTGACATGAACGCGGTCCCCAGCCGACAGCCCAGCCCTCCTAGCCCATCCCCAGCTCCCACCCCACCCACCCCCTGGATGAGGCAGGGAGGAGCCCGCAGCTGGAGCAAAGGGGAAACCTCAAAGTGACCTTTCCTCTCCGCAGAACACAGCGACAGCCCAGGTAGGAACCAGCGATAAGAGCGCCAGGGGGGTTGGCCCGGCCAAGACTGCTCCTGTGCCTGGCACATGTGCACGTCAAAGAAACCCCCACGTGCACAGCGGGCAGGATTAAGGAGTCATCCCGGGTCACAATGACAGAATCACCTCCAGACCTGCCGAACCTACACACACAGGATCCTCGCCTCCCTGCTCCCCAGACGCCCTGCCCTCCTCTAAAAAGAGTTCCTGCTTTGCTTCTCACCAGTCCTGGGACATTTTGGAGGGACAGCGCATGGGAAGGGCAGGGGGGATGGGGGAGGGATATAAAGGCAGATGTGAAAAGGAAGGTCAAGAAAGGCAGGAACCTGCCTGAGGTTGCAGGGCAAGAAAGAGCATCAGACAATATTCACAGTGGCAACAATAACAGCCCGAATCCCTGCGCGCTTACCAAGGCCGGGCACTGCTCCAGGCCGCTCTGTGCGTTAACGGGCACTGCGCCAAGCCCATCTCTGCCCACAGTGCTCTGCAGACGTAACCAGGCCTAGTCACTGGGTGAAGATACCCGTGGGCTTTCTTTTGTATGAGTTCACTGCGGGGGGTGGGGGGGCAGGGAATTAGGGTTCTAACGAGGGTCCTGGAGAAGCTCAGGAGGGGGTCTGGTCTGGCCCACGCCCTCCCCACAAAGTCCATTCCCCCTTTGCACCCCCCTCTAGCTCCTTAGCTCTGCAAAACCAGTGGCTCCCCTGGCCCCCAGGTGTGACTCCACGCCCCTGCCAAGCCTTGGGATTGTCCATACGCTCACCTCGCCTGCCCTCCGCACTTCCCTCCTGCCCTTAGCCTTGGGATTGTCCATACGCTCACCTGCTCACCTCGCCTGCCCTCCGCACTTCCCTCCTGCCCTCTGGGGAACAAAGGGGTGTCCCTGCCCTCCACTTCCCCGAAGTCCCCCAGCCCCCCTCTAGGTCTCTCCCGTAATTCAGGACGGGCCCCTCCTTTCCTCAGAAGTGGGGAGGGGGCAGGGACACCCTTTTGTTCCCCAGTATTGTCACAGGGCACCTGCTATTCATCCCTGACCCGTGGGGGGATGGAGGTGCTGTTTGAAGGGAGGCAGGGCTCGGCGAGACACACCTGCCAATTGAGCACTTAACTTTCCTCAGCGATGCAGGGCTCTGTGTTTGTTTAACTAGGGATCAAGTCATCACATCTTCTATGCCTCCCTCCCGTCCCTGCTCCCTCCTTCCCCTTCCCACCCCTGACCGAGCATTGAAAGAGCCCCCTGGGGGTTCCCGAGAAGTCCTCACCTCTCTGAGAACCATCCAGGAGAGGGGGTGCCCCCGCCTGCTGGCTCACCCTGTCTGCTTCTCCCATCCCCCTTTCCTCCCAGGCCTGAAGGACTGGCTGATGAAGTAACCTCCCATCCTAAGCCCCACCCCACCCCAACCCCGACTCTTGGAATTAGGAAGTATGACCAGGGCACCTCCTCACCAGGAGCTGGAGCAGAGCCACTCTGCCTGTCATGGTCCTGGGAACCCAGAGGCCAGGAGAGGACTCCCATCCCCCGGCAGAGCCCTCGAGAAGAGCAAGACCCTCTCCTGTCAGCTGAGATGGAAGGTCACTCTGGCTGCCACTCGGGGGCCAGCCCCAGGGAGCAAGAGCAGGGTCACCTCTGGGAGGGCTGGGCCTTTCGGCAGGGACTTGAGCTGGAGCCTGAGGCCTGGTCCAAAGTCCCATACCGCCCCCCTCTCTCTAAGACTCAGTTTCTTCAGCCGCAGAATGAGAGGATGGGGCTGGTCTAGCCCTCAAGTTCTCCTCTAGACAGAACTTTCTAGGCCAGCGGGCTGCTGGGTCTCCTTTTGCATGTGGTACAAACTGGGGATTGAGAAAGTACCGGAGCCTCTTCCTTCAACACCCTATTCCTGGAATGAGATGGGCAGAGAAATAGGGGAAGGAGACCCGCTTGCGTTCCAGTAAAGCAGGGGGCTTTTCCTGCCCGAGCATCAGGCCCATCTGTAGGAAGGGTGCCCACAGGGGCAGAAAAAGCCCCGAGCCCCCCACCTGAGCTCCCAGAAGGATTTCCTCCCGCCCTTCCTGGAAGGGCAGCCTGGAGCGGCCCCGAGCCAACACTGCACAGGCTGGTGAGGCCCACACCAAGGAGATCCGGGGAGAAAGAGTTCCCAGGGCAGGGGCTCAGGAAAGCTTCATAGAAGAGGAAGCAGGAGGAGGGAGGAGGAGAGGCATGGGAGGGGAGGGGAGGAACCTGGGCAGGTCTTAAGGATGGGCAGGTCCAGAAAGGAAGGAGGAGTCAGGGTCCCTCCCCGAGGTAAAAATGAGCCATGCTTGCTGGGGGGACTGGACGGTGCTGTGGGACACGGCCAACAGATGTACCCAGGTCACCAAAACACGGCCGCATAGTTAAAGGACAAACATGCTAAAAATAAGGAGTTTGGGCTTGATCCTCCTGGAAAGGAAGAAAGAAGCTGGGGGTTTCTGAGCTGGGGGCGTAGTCTGGAGACCAGCGATCAGTTATCAGGCGATTGCAATCATCCAGGTGTGAGATAAGACCTGCGGGGGTGAGGCCTGGGAGAAACAGTAATGGGACTGATGAACAACTGTGTGGAGGCCGAGGTAAGGGAAGGGCAGGGACAAGTATAGGGGAGAGGCCTGGGTGACAGGGAGAAAGGAACCACTGAAGAAATGGGGAAACAAGGCCAGCCGGGGGTGGGGGGGGGGGGCTGAGTTCGTAGGGGTTCAGTAGGATCAGATGGTAACAACCCCCTCCCCACAATGCACTACTAGAACTTAGAGCCTTGGAAGCTGGCGGGAAAGGGGCTTCCGGATCACTGCCTGCCCCTTGGCATGGAATCAAGATCTCCCATCACCCCCTCTTCCAAGGCGGTCCCCTCTTCCGGGTCAGCCCCCTTTGAAAATATTGGCTATTCTTTGGCAAGTGGTCTTCAGTGGCCTGGAATAGACCTCCCTCAACTAGGCTGGAGCCAGGCTGGAGCCAGGCTGGAGCTGTGGGCTCCTCCTGAGGGTCGTGTTCCCCACTCATTGCACCCAAAGGGCCCTCCAGGCAAACCACCTGGAAAGCTAGACCCTTCCCGCCTCCGGAGAGGGTAGGGAGCAAGGCCACCCTGCCTTCCTGGAGGGGCGGGTCTGGAAGTCTCTGAACTGTCTGTCCTAAGAGGAAGGAAGCCCCCTCCACTGTAATCCTGGTAGCCATCCCTGTTACCTTTGTGGGGTGCCCTGGCAGGCCAGCCACTTCGCACACGCGCTCTCCACCGCAACCACCTGGACTGTTGGTAACCCCACTTACGGATGCAGAAACCGAATCTTTGAACCCAGGTCATCGGGCTCTAAAACTTGTGCTGTTTTCCTTATGCCACTGGGCCTCTCATTTCTCCCACCGGGATGTCTCACGTGCCGTGGCTCTTGCTCAGTCCTGCCCATGTCTTCTCCAAAACACCATTTATTGATTCACTCAACAAGCATCTGTTGCATACATACTAAGCACCAGGCAAGAGGCTGGGCACAGGCGCTGTGGGCAGGTTCAGCCCACTTCCCTCCCAGCCGGGCACCATCCGTGGGGCTTTGCCGGATTCCCAGCCCAGGCCGATGGCTGCTGGTGGACCTCGGGTCCCACAACCAAATGGATGGAATGCACCAGCTCAACCTTTGTTGATTTGGGCACAATCTTATTATAATAACAACTCACATTTGCAGGCTTCTTTGCATATTACACACCCTTTCTTGTCCGTTACCTCATTTGCGCCTCACAACCACCCCATGAGAGGCCCGTTACCCCCATTTCCCTGACAAGGAACCTGAGGTTCAGAGGTAATGCTGCCCCTTCCACCCACCAGTGAAGCCAGACTAGAACCCAGGCTTCTAGACCCTAGTTCATGCACTTCCCATCTCTCTCCCCACCCCTCCACCCTTCTCTTCCACAAAAGGTATCAACTGCTCCCCTCTGATAACCTCCCATACACCCAGGTTCTCCCCTAGGAAGTCAGGGGACCTCCCTAACCCCGAGTGGTTTTTCACCTTCAACTCCATCTCAAATCTTTTGCCAAACTGGCCACAGCCGCCCCTCGCACCCACCTCCCAGAATTCAACCCTTCCTCTAAGCCTGCCCCCTGGCTTTCCTCTCCCTCCTGCCTCCTCCAGGGTCCTCCAGGCGGCTTCTCCCAGCTCCGTTTTTCACCTTCAACTCCATCTCAAATCTTTTGCCAAACTGGCCACAGCCGCCCCTCGCACCCCACCTCCCAGAATTCAACCCTTCCTCTAAGCCTGCCCCCTGGCTTTCCTCTCCCTCCTGCCTCCTCCAGGGTCCTCCAGGCGGCTTCTCCCAGCTCCGGAGGACAGGGGACAGGAGGGGAGACCAGTAGTTGGAGGAGGAAGGGGGAGGCTCCCACAGGAAGCTCCTCTGGACCTGCAGGGCCCGGCACTCAGCTCTGCCGGCTGGACTCCTGCCACACCAGCAAGGTTGCGCAAAACTCGAGGAGGAGAGAAACAGCAGTACACAAGGGTGGGGGAAAGGTTAGGTACAGGAAGCGTGTGTGGGAGAGCCAGCAGCACAGTCCATCCCAATTTCCCCAAATACGCCATTGTCCTTCATCCCCAGGGAAACCTGTTGGTGAAGTCCTAGGTATCTCCTTCCAGAAGGGGCCTCCTTGAGGTCATTGTGCCCATCCCCCGGCCTCCAGGCAGGCTGTTCTCTCTATTCCTTCCAAGCTGTCTGGCTGAATGGTATTAGCCTTTCTGCCCGGGGAAACTGAGGCTTGGGGCGGGGCTTGGGGGGGAGGCAAGGGGTCGAATGAATATGCTGAATCCCAGCTGGGACTCCTGCCCTCCCACTCCCACCTTTTTTCTGCGTGGTGTTCAGCGGGGGTGACGGTGATGTCACAGGTGCAGTGTGCCAGCCATGTGCTGGGCGCCAAGCAAAACAGCCAGGGCGAGTGTGTGCATCATCAGTGCCCGGGAAGGAAGGCCACCAGAAGAAGTGAGTCTCGTGGAAGGACTTGAAAGAAGGAAGGGAGGCACCTTCTGGAGGGGGGCGGGGAGGCCCAGCATAAAACTGCTGCAGCAAGGACTAGAGAGAGAGGGCCCAAGCTGGCGCTGAGGAGGGATGTCCCTCATCCTCCCCTTGTCTGCTTCTCCCAAAGCCTGTAAATGCCCCAGACATGAGCCAGCCCAGGCCCCGCTACGTGGTGGACAGAGCTGCATACTCTCTCACCCTCTTCGATCATGAGTTTGAGAAGAAGGACCGGAAGTACCCACTGGGAGAGAAACTTCGCTATGCTTTCAGGTAATGTGACCCAGAGCCCAGACTCCTCTCCTCTGCTCCCCGCCGAAGTCTCTCCCGCACCAGGCGAGGCTCTCGCACCAGCATCCCTCACACAGAGCTCGGGAAAGCCCTGGGAGGGCTGGTGTGGGACCCTGAATGGAAGATCCTATCATTTCAACTGTCCTGAGACTCCCAGGGAGGATGGGGAGTAGGAGCAAAGCCCCCACCCCCCCGGCCCGCAGCTTCAGCAGGACCATCCCCAACCCCCTGCATGAGGTCTTGCCATCTTCTCAGCCCACTCAAGTGTTTCTTGAGTTCTTAAGGGAGCTAGAGATGGGCACGCTACAGCATGGGGTGGGGGCATCAGAGCCCTTGCTGCAATGTCCCATCCCCTCCTTGTTAATAAAAATCTGAAAAAAAAAAAATCTGAAGCCACCATCACCCCATGCTCTTGGTCCCCTTTCCCTCCTAGATGGTCCTTCCTTCTCCTGGTCTGGAGAATGCCCCAAGGTGGCCCCTAAAGGGTACCTACCAGGATGTGGTTCCTCCAGCCTCTGGGCCATTTCCGGTCTCAGGTCCCTGGAACTGGGGTGGTGGGTAGTGAAGCCTGGCCTCTAAGGGGGTGATCTACACCCACACTCCAGAAGCCTGAGGCCACAGCCTTCCCCCTTCCCAGACTTCTGGCAAGCTGCGCTCAGGCCTCTCTCAGGCCTCGCTGTAGGCTGGCTTACTCTTCCCCACTCCCCAGGGGAAACAGCTGATTCAGTTACCTGGATTGAGGTCACTGGCAATGGCTGAAGTGGAGATGCAGGTGGAACTGGTTCAGACCAGGGGAATCACCCACTTCAGTTTTCACCAAAAGCCCAGGCCCAACCCTACCTCTCCTAAGAGGCTCCATCTCTGCCCAGTTACAGCCACGGCCTTGGGGGGCCTCGTGTTCAGGCTCTGAACCCACAGCTGTGCTCCTCGGGCAGGTGGGCTCTGCCCTCCTTGATGCCCAAAGAATTTAAGTTTGGATTGTTTCTGCACTGGAGGGATGAGGGTATCTGCTGTTGTCCTAAAAGTTTCGGATGATGAAAACTATGAAGGGATGTAGGGAACTAAGAGTTCCCATGAGGCTGGCATGAGAGCCTTGAACAGTGCCTGGCACACAGATGGTGCTCCAATAAATATTTGTTGAATGAATGAAGAATGAATGAATGAATGAATGTCAAGAAAGCTAATCCCTCTGCCCACTTCCTTCTTGCCTTCTGGAGCCTCTGTATAGGTGTTTGGCATCACTTTCTAGCTCTTCTCTCAAGTTTCAGATTGTTTTGCTCAACACATGGCAGGCTTGCAAGTAAGGCTGGGCAGGGAAGGCTGGGCAGGTGAGGCTGGGCAGGAATGAGCCTTCAAGTGGGTTGTTTCTCTTTCGCTAGCCAGCTCTCTATTCACAAGTCCAGTTTTCCCAGCCACACACAAACCTGAGAGAGTTCCTGCAGGGCTGGTTCTCTCTTAGGACAAGGCTTTAGAGATGCATTAAGCTATTTGCCACCAGTCTAGCTCCCACCCACCATCCCAGGGATGGGAGAAGCGCCCGCCTGCCCCAGAGGGGACTAGGGAGTCAGATGTGGGTGGTGGTGCTTTTCCATCAAGTGTTGGTTCAGATAGAAAATCTGCACGGACTATACAGGGTGCAAAGCATTTTCTGTGTGTGTTTCAGTCTTGGGTGAAATCCAGGGGACCCGGTGTCAGGGGAACTATTGTTGAACAGCAGCAAAGAGCAAGAATGGAGGCCTAATCAGAGCGGGCCAGTGAGTCACCAGCTGGGCCCTGGATATCTGAGTTCCCTCAACTGGGAAAAGCAAAGCAAATGCCTCCCACCCTCTTCTAGTCATCAGTCCCCCAGCTGTCACCCTCCAGTGTGCAGGCCCTTGTTCCTACCGCTCCTGAGTTTCTATGAAAGGGCCTGGAGGTGTTCAACAAACAGGGCAGGGATCAGCTCTCCTGCCCCGCGCTCACCAATCAATGAACAGCTCTCAGTCTTCCCTCCCAGAGGAGTTAACAGGGGGACAAACTTGGTGTTGGAGTCATCGCACATGAAGGATGCTGGGTCCACGGGGCACACCCTGCAGGGACAATGGGGCCTTCCTCTTGGAGAAGTTCTATGAAAGATGGCAGCAGCCCCTACTCAGACTGAGTTTCTTTCTTCCCCCTCCCCCCTTTTCTGTGCTGTTTGAATTTTTACAGTGAGAACACAGTCACTTTTTATAGGAGAAAGTTTTAGCAACAAGCCTGTAACCTACTCCTTCTTTTTACCAAGAATCCTTGGGGGGAAGAAAAGGATCCTCACTCAGATCCCCTTGCAAACAATCTGGTAACTAGAGCTTTTGGCACGCAAATGTATGGCATTCACTAGTAGAAAGATAATGGTGAGTCTAAATCTGTAAAATGTGTTTAGCAATACAAGGTGGGGCAAAAGTAGGGTTACAGTTCTGAGTACACAAAACACGGAGTTTATTCTTGTATTATTACTTATTGTATTATTTTTCCATGCAAACAACTGTAAATACTTAGTCTGCCTCGATAGTTTATTGTAAATACACTTGGGCAGACTGAGTTTCTTTTTTTTCTAATATATTTTTATTGATTTCAGAGAGGAAGGGAGAGAGAGAGAGAGAGTGATAGAAACATCAGTGAGAGAGAATCATTGATCAACTGCCTCCTGCATGCCCCCCACTGGTGATCAAGCCCACAACCCGGGCATGTGCCCTGGATTGGAATCAAACCTGGGACCCTCAGTCTGCAAGCTGACACTCTATCCACTGAGCCAAACCAGCCAGGGCATTTCTTTCTTTCTTTCTTTCTTTCTTTCTTTCTTTCTTTCTTTCTTTCTTCCTTTCTTCCTTTCTTTCTTTCTTTCTTTCCCCCCCGCCCCTCTCTCTCTCTCTCTCTCTTTCTTTCTATTTCAGAGAGGAAGGGAGAGAGAGACAGAAACATCAGTGATGAGAGAGAATCATTGATTGGCTGCCTCCTGAACGCCCTGGGGATCCAGCCCAAAACCTGGGCATGTGCCCTGACCGGGAATTGAACCCATGACCTCCTAGTTCATAGGTCGACGCTCAACCACTGAGCCACGCCGGCTGAGCCAGACTGAGTTTCAATACCGGCTCATCCTTTCACTTATTCATTCACTCATTTATTCAACATATACTTACGAAGCGCCCCAAGGTAGTGCACAAGGTATACAGAAATGACAAGAGAGCCAGACTTCTCACCATTGTGGGTTTGCTGTTTAGTGGGCGAGAGAGATAAAAAGCAAGTCATTAAACACGGGGCACTCATGGAGCTAAGAAGCCCAGACAAGGGGGCCCAGGCCTGTGTTCCATCAGCCAGGAGCTCAGAGAAGCCTTCCCTGGAGAAAGGCCAATTGAGATGGGCCTGGACTTGACACCTCAGAAGGTTAAGCCACCAGGAAATCCCTGCCTTTAAGCCAAGTCTTGTAGACTTCCGAGCAGGCGGCATCAGTCAGAAGACCTCCAGCCCATGCACAGGGCGTGCTGATGGTTCTCAAGAGAAAGTCCCTGCTTTTCCTTCTCAGTGTCTGGCAGACTGTACAGTATGCGTGCTCATCGCATTTTGAATGAATTTTGAATGAATGATGAGCAGCAACAGGATATTGTAATCCCTCCCCAACTTGGAGCGCCCAAGCCCGAGCAGCGCTGACTGGAAATCTGCCCGTTTTCCCTCCAGATGTTCCCCGGCCAAGATCAAAACCGTGGTGTTTGGGCTGCTCCCTGTGCTCTCCTGGCTCCCCAAGTACAAAATCAAAGACTACATCATCCCTGACCTGCTTGGTGGCCTCAGCGGTGGATCCATCCAGGTGCCACAAGGTGAGGGGTCCTCTCAGCCAGACCTGCCCTCCCCACCCCACCTTCTGTGGCCTCCATAACCCCCGTCCCCTGAGCCTTCACTCTCTCGTCCTCTGCAGGCATGGCGTTTGCTCTTCTAGCCAACCTTCCTGCAGTCAACGGCCTCTACTCCTCCTTCTTCCCCCTCCTGACCTACTTCTTCCTGGGGGGTATACACCAGATGGTGCCAGGTAAGACCTCTCCCCTCCCCAGCAGGCAGGAGGACGGGTGGTGTGAAAAGGGGTTCGGGTGATTTTCCACCTACATACTCCTCTAGCTGGTGCCGGTTGGTTCTCAAGGGACCATCACTGTGTCTGTCCCAGGTCCTCCGTGACCTTGGAGACAACACTTAGCTTCTGTGAGCTCAGTCAGCATTACCTGTTCTGCCTTCCTCCCTGGAATGGGGGGAAGAGTTGGTGCAACAAGATAAACCGTGTGCCATGAAGTGCTAAACAGCTGTGAGAAATTACCTTCTAACCCCAGGCTGGTCCCAGCAGCCACTGAGGGGAACATTGGGAGTTCTCTGGTGCTAAGTGAGACAGAGAAAGGACAATCTCCAAGCTCCATTCCTCAGGTGGCCAGTAAAATAACATTAACAGCTGAGATGAAACAGTAGATCATGGTCAGATATGCGTGGTGCTATGCTGGAGAGCAGCCTGGGGGCCCTGGGGCTCCATTCCCTTGGGGGTCAGGGAGCAATCCTGGGCCCCTTGATGGTTTCCATGGGTTTGATACAAACCTCTGACTTTTGCTGGCTGGGTGGGGCACCACAGGTACCTTTGCTGTTATCAGTATCCTGGTGGGTAACATCTGTCTGCAGCTGGCCCCAGAGTCAAAATTCCAGGTCTTCAACAATGCTACCAACCAGACCTACGTGGACACGGCGGCCATGGAGGCCGCGAGGCTGCATGTGTCAGCAACGCTGGCCTGCCTGACTGCCATCATCCAGGTGAGGGGACGGCCAAATCCCTGCCAGGGCCCCCGCCAGGAGGCCATCAGACCACCCTGCCCCTGACTCAGACCCAGCTTTGACGTTAAAGCTGGTTTAGGGCTCTACCTCCTCCGTCTTCCCCATTCTCAGGGCCCCCAAAGACCTTGAAAAGCCAGATAGCGCCTCCCCTCCCTCCAGCAGGTCCTTACGGCTGGCTTCCACACCTGATGAAACTGTCCTGCGTTTGGACTCTCTCAGACACTTGCGGCTTCTCTCCACTCCCTGTGCAGAGCCTGGCTCTCTGCCAGCTCCGTCCTCCTGTCTCCTGACTTCTCTTATCCCCCACCAGACCAGCCTCCTCTGCTCCAGCCACAGCATCGCCGGCATACATTTCTTTTTCGCCACACGCTAAGGACTCTGCTGGGTTTTGTGAAGGAAAACACAGCCTGACAGAGTGCAAGCGCAGGAAGCAAACTCAGAGGGCACCTCTCATTCATTCATTCATTTAGTTAATGTTTCTTAGTTATTTCACTGTGCCAGGAACTGGGCTCGGCCCTGGGGATAAAAGATAAGTAAGAAAGGGGCCACGTTTTCCAGAAGCTCCCAGCCCAGCAGAGGAAATAGCCATGTCAACAGATAAATTTGTAGGCAGTGAGATAAGCAGCATAATAGAGCTGTGTACAAGCAGCTGTGGGAACACCAAAAAGAGTCAGGAAAGGCCTCTCCTCAAAGAGAAGAGGTGACCTGGGTCTTAAAGGATGACTAGAAGTGACCAGTAAGCAAATGAATAAGGCCTGGAAGGATGGTCCAGGCAGAGAAAAAGTGCCCCCCAAGCACTGAGGCCTCAGAGAGGGTGAACCCACCAGGAATGGCAAGGCAAGGAGTGTCTGTCTGGAGGGCAGGGGGCCTTTGGGGACGGGCCAGAGAAGAGGCTAGAAAGGTAGGCATGGACCAGACAATGATGTTTGAGGTCTGTCCCCTAGGCTGTGGCTTTAGATCTGATTGGCAGTTGAAGGATCATTTGGGCTACGGAGAAGATGAGGGGTGGGAGGTGGATTAGAATCAATCCTGTTGGGGACCATACAGAGAGCCAGGCAAGAGTGCCGAGGGCCTAGGCCAGTGGTGGCCATGGAGAAAGCCGTGAAGACAGGAGTGGACTTGAGGCACATTTTGCCAGGAGCAAAATTAACTGGGCTCTGGTTACAGATGGGACGTGGGAGGTGAGGGAGGGATGACTCCCAAGGTATTGTTTGGCCAACTGGGTGGATGGCAGTGTCATCCACTAACACTGAGGGAGGGCCAGTTTCATTCACAGATGAGGAAACTGAAGACAGACAGGCGGAGTGACAAAGAGGCCAGTGTCCTTAAGGGACCAAAATTCTGCTGGCACATTACAAAGGAAGACAAAGTCACGAAGGACTCATTTCCCTAGAGCTGCCGCTGCCCAGAGCTGCACAGAACTCCAGCCCTGGGTTTGGATCAGGCAAGTGTGGGAGCTGCTGACCCTCTTGGTCATTCTCCCCTCAGATGGGACTGGGCTTCGTGCAGTTTGGCTTTGTGGCCATCTACCTCTCCGAGTCCTTCATCCGGGGCTTCATGACAGCTGCCGGCCTGCAGATCCTGATCTCGGTGCTCAAGTACATCTTTGGACTCACCATCCCGTCCTACACAGGCCCAGGCTCCATCGTCTTTGTGAGTCTAGGATAGTGCCCTGCAAATGGGGAGGGGCTCATTACAACAGCCAAGTTCACTGTTGTTACGAGCTTCTCATTATGAGATGCTCTTGAGCAAGAGTCGGCTGACCCTGACCCGGTGTTAGGAGAGGATGCTGAGGGGGTCCTCACATTGGGAGGGAGGGTCAAACACATGACCTCGAGGGCTCCATGAGGTTCCCTGTGGTTAATCCCTGCAGAAAAGGAGAGGTACACTCTTAATAAGTTCCCTGTTCCACTGGCTGGGAAGTCCTTCCTGATGTCTAGTTTTTACCCTCCTCCTTTAACTTGAACTCTTTCTAGAGGATGAGAAAGGGAATCAACATTCCTGTCCCAGCATGAGCTCCTGATGGGCCCTTTGGGAGAGGGTGGTGGGAAATGGCATCGTGTTCCTGATCAGGGTCTGGATTCTGCTTTGGTGCCTCCATGAGCACTGACGATACCCCTTCACGGGGTCAGCCATCCGGTGGTGGGGGTGGTGGGGGAAGAAGCAGTGGGAGCCCATAGGCATGATGCTCTCTCCACCAGACCTTCATTGACATTTGCAAAAACCTCCCCCACACCAACATCGCCTCGCTCATCTTCGCCCTCATTAGTGGTGCCTTCCTGGTGCTGGTGAAGGAGCTCAACGCTCGCTACATGCACAAGATCCGCTTCCCCATCCCCACAGAGATGATTGTGGTAAGACCGCACCGGGGCTGGGCGTGGAGGGCCAGATCAGAGAGGCTATGAGAAGGGACATTCAGTTCCAGCCAGGGCCAGGGCTCCCCTACCCAGCCTCACCCACCTCCACTGTCAGCCAGTAGAGCAAGAAGTCAGGGGTGAATCCCTTCCATCCCCCGGAATATGGCCCCACTCTTCCTGTTCCTTGGGGTCTTCCCCCTCAGAGGCAGGCAAGTGAGATTCAGGTTCCCCAGAGAAAAGGGAGGCTTGAGAGAAACGCTTGCACTGACCCCAACTTCAAACCAACCCCCATTCTCCACTTTGGGTTTTTCAGGTGGTGGTGGCAACAGCTATCTCGGGGGGCTGTAAGATGCCCCAAAAGTATCACATGCAGATCGTGGGGGAGATCCAACATGGGTGAGTCCAGGGGGCTGGAAAGCCTGACGCCAACCCCACGGCACTCCCCACCAAGGCCTGGGCTCAGAGGCTGAGCTGAGACGAACTCTATGAAATGCGTTCTAAACCCTATGACACTGCCCAGCAATGGATCGCGACTATTACTTATTATGGAGAAGAGCCACACAAGGGGCCAATGCTGGCTGTTTTATGAACGGCGAGTCTTAACTGGCACACTCACCCCGGAAGTCTCATTCAATGGGACTATTAAAGCAATGCCTCTCTGATCAGCCCTTATCTGGCCCTTCACCCTGTTCTAATGCATTGGCTCTTTTTATCCATGTGGACAGGAAGCTATTGGGATGAACCAGATTCATTAAGCATCCACTCTGTGCCGGGCAGCCAGCTGGGCCCTGGGAGGGGCCGTTCAGTGCTGGGCTGCCGAGCTGCCGCAGGTGGGGTGGGGGACGCTCACAACACGGGGGGCTGGTGAGAGTAAAGAGTCCAGAATCTGGGTGTGAACAAACGAGGCCCTGCCAAGTACTGGCTCTGAGACCTTGGACAAGCCAGGTCCTCTAAGCCCCGGATTCCTACTTTGTCAACGGGAGTGATGGCCCTACAGCGTTGTACTGAGGACTCAGACCGAAAGGGTGACCACGTGAGACCCTGGCACACAGCGGGGCCCTGCTGCTCCCTGCGAGTTGCTGAAGGACTCGGTGCCCTCCCTCTCCTCACACCCTTGGGCCCTGCCTCCCCTCTGGCTCCTTGGCAGGTTCCCTACTCCTGTGTTGCCTGTGGTTTCACAGTGGAAGGACATGGTTGGCACAGCCTTCTCCCTGGCCATCGTGGGCTACGTCATCAACCTGGCTATGGGTCGGACCCTGGCTAGCAAGCACGGCTATGACGTGGATTCTAACCAGGTAGGTCCTGCTAACCCCAGTAGGACTGAACAGGATGGGCTGGGGCCCACAGAGCCCTGGCAAAAGATAGCTTGGGGCTCTGGACCGAGGTGAGGGAAGCTGCCGCCAGTGGGGAGAGGGTATGACCCCAAGAGCTGACCTCTGCTCAATGGGGTGTGTATGGCTTTATAGTCGTAGGTCATGTCTGAGGCCCAAGATCCAGCTTGCGTGGCCGACTCGGTGTGGTCCGCACCCTGCCACCCCATGCCCGCACCTCCAGCCCCTAATCCTGCCCTTGTCCCACAGGAGATGATTGCCCTGGGCTGCAGCAACTTCTTTGGCTCCTTCTTTAAAATCCATGTCATTTGCTGTGCTCTCTCCGTCACTCTGGCTGTGGATGGAGCTGGAGGAAAATCCCAGGTGAGCGCTGTGCCAGGGGAGGAGGATGGGGAACCGAACAGTTGCCCCAGAGAATCCCAGAAACCTGCAAGCCGGGCCAGCTGCTTCTCCGCCTTCCTCTCCCTTCCCTAGTCTCCACTCCACCAAAGGCATTTATGGGGAACAAATCGGAAGCAATACTCCCTATTCCCAACTCTTTCTCTGAATAGGTGGCAAGCCTGTGTGTGTCTCTGGTGGTGATGATCACCATGCTGGTCCTGGGGTCCTATCTGTACCCTCTCCCCAAGGTAAGAGCCCAGCGGGAGAGCAGAGGCCAGTAAGACTCCAGTCAGAGCAGCCCCTCAGGGTCATGTGGCAGATTACAAAGTGCTGTCATTGTCGCACTTCGGCCTAAACGCAACCTGTGCGGTAGACAACACAGGTTTACTCTCCCCAGTTTACAGGTGAGGGAAACTGAGGCTGAGAGAGTCTACGTGATGTGGTACAGCTCACAAGTTCAGGGCTGGTCCCAGACTCCAGCCTCCAGACCTCAGGATTGAGTCCCTAGTCTGTTGACAAGTACCCATGAGCCCCAGCGTAGGAAGGCTCTAGGCATGGGCCATGGGTGTGAGAGAAGAGGGAAAGGGGGAAGAGGGAGCCGGGATGGGCCCCATGCCTCTAGCTCCTGTGCTCTCCAATCCTAAGCCTGAGTGCTGAGATTTGGGGGCTCTGTGTGTTCTGAACTCCAGTTCTGTCCTGCCAGGCTCCAGGGTCAGGTGTGTTTGTAGGAAGGGCAGGAAGAAGGGGACACCCCAGTGTCAGGAACCATGTTCTGCTTCCCTAGGCTGTGCTGGGAGCCCTGATAGCTGTCAACCTCAAGAACTCCCTCAAGCAACTCGCCGACCCCTACTACCTGTGGAGGAAAAGCAAGCTAGACTGTGTAGGTACTGGGTGGCCTCTGTGTACCTGTCTGAGTCCTGTCCCCTTCTCCAACCTCACAGCCCTGTCCCTTCTCCTGTGAATGATCCCTCTGGTTAGCTGCTCTGTAACTGGCATCGCCAGGTGCTATGAACTCAGGTTTTAGAGAGACACCCTGTGCTGAAATCCTGACTCAGACGTTCACAGGCTCTGTAGTCAATAGCAAGTCTCTTAACCTCTCTGTGTCTCAACTTCCTCGTCTGTGAAATGGATATTTTATACTCTCCTCCTCCCAGGGTTGCTTAGGAGGAATAAATTAGACAATACAAGAAGGGGGCACATTGTCCAAACCCGTGGTCGGCAAACTGCGGCTCGCGAGCCACATGGGGCTCTTTGGCCCCTTGAGTGTGGCTCTTCCTAAGCCTTAGGAGTACCCTAATTAAGCTAATAACAATGTACCTACCTATATAGTTTAAGTTTAAAAAATTTGGCTCTCAAAAGAAATTTCAATCGTTGTACTGTTGATATTTGGCTCTGTTGACTAATGAGTTTGCTGACCACTG